CATCATCCCCATCATAAATCTTCACCATCACCATCATCAGCAGCAGCAGCATTATCATCATCAGCATCATCAGCATCATTGTCATCATCAGCATCATCATCAATCATCATCAGCAGCATCAGCATCACCATAATCAGCATCATCATCATCCTGAACAGTATCAATAATCATCATCAGCAGCAGCAGCATCATCAGCATCATCCCCATCATCAACAACAGCGTCATCATTATCAGCATAATCCTCATAGTCACCATCATCATCGTCATCATCAACATCATCATCATCATCATGTTCCACCTTGCTTTCCCTCTCCTGCTTCTCCTCCCTATCATAATCCTATCTCTCTCTCTCTCTATCTCCGCACCTCCCTCCCGACTTTCCCCCCCGCGGGGACTCCCAGACGGGCGGGAGCGCGCGCGCGCGAGGGGGGGGGAAGGGGAAAAAACAGGGAGGAGGGAGCAGGGAGGAGGGAGAGGGAAAAGTGGGATGGGGAAGGAGGAATAGAGGAGGAAGGAAGAGGAGGACAAGGAGGAGAAGAAGGTAGGTAGAGGAAGGAAGGAGAAGGGAGGAGGGAGGACGGAGAAAGCAGGAAGAAGGAAGGACTAAGGACTAAGGAGGAAGGACGAATGAGGAAGGAGCAATGAGTAAGGAAGAGAGAGGAGGGAGGGCGGAGGAAGGAGGAAGGAGAAAGGAGGCAGGAGGGAGAGGGGGGGCGGGCAGGAAAAGAACGACGACGACGACAACGACGACGACGGCGACGACGACGGCCGCCGCCGCCGCCAGCCTCCGCGCCGCCGCCGAAGGCCACCGAGAGCCGCGGAAGGCCGCCAAGGGCCGCCGGAGGGCGCCGAGGGCCGCCGACGCCGCCGCGGGCCTTGGCGCCGAGGCCGACGAGCGCGACGCGCTTCACGTCCTGGCCGAAGACCTCGGCGGCACGCCCGGGCCGGCAGCGGCGGGGAGCGTGGGAGCCCGCCTCGGGCCCGCGGGCCTCGCGCGCGCGCGCGTGCGCCGCACACGCGCTCTGCACAACTCGTCGTGCCGGCGCCGTCGAGGCGCGGCGGCGCTGCAGGGGCTCCGTCCGACGAGCCAGGGGCCAGGCGTGGCCGAGCTGCAGGGACCCAGGGCGGGAGGAGGGCTGCGTGCCAGGAGGGGGCTGCTTCCGCGACCAAAAGGGGGGGGGGGGAGGCGGCGAGGAAGTCGGGCGCCGCGTCCGGGTGCGGCCTCTGCCGGTCCTGTGCTGTCCTGGCCTCTCCGCGCTGGGCGGTGGTCCTCGCTCTCGGCCTCCCGGGGCCCGCGGTCGGGCCCCGGGGACAGTCATCAAGAATCGGAGGATCGCGATGCCTCGGCGATGCATCGGGGATGCGTCAGCGACGCATCGTCGACGTCGGCGATGCATCGGCGACGTCGACGTGAAGCAAATCGGGCTTCACATCGAGCCGCATCGGCGAATGCGGCGCGATTCTCCGACCCCATCTACTGCGACCCCATCTAGGAGGCCTAGAACCTCTGGGGCCGCGGATGGAAGAAGCCGGCTGGCGTCGCACGCTTCTGGGCTTCCGTGCGCAGGAGCGCAGTGCCAGCACCCACGGCCTGGAGTCCAGGCAACTCCAGCACCCACGGCCTGGAGTCCAGTGCATCCGGGCGGCCTCCTGACCCACAGGGTGGGGAGATGATGAGCGCTGAGGAGGGGAGGGGAGAACGAGGAGAGGGACAGGGGGGAGGGCGACGCGGAGATGGAGGAGGAGGATCGATTCCCAAACGCCCAAACGCCCCCCCCTCTGACTCCATCGTAGCGGAATCAAGGTTCAAGGTTCGATGTTCTCCTTAGATCTTGGCCCCTGGGAGCCCGTTGAGGTACACCGAGGCTCGGATGGACCCCACCAGGGGTCCAGGGATCGATCGTGAGCGTGTTCGGCTGGGACGCAGGAGGTCCTGGTACACATCCCTCACTAACATGCCTGGCCAGGGATGGTGGTGATGTCAAGATTCTGTAGGAGTGAAAACGTTTTTGGACGTCTCTGTCTGCTGCCGCGGTTTCAGCATGCTTCTGCCGTTTTGCACCTTTTTCTTTGGACGTGCTTGCCCCTTCCGTGGCTTCCTGCCTCCTGGACGCCTCTGGAAGCCTCTGGGGCTCAGGAGCGAACTCCAGGGTCGAGCATCGGGGTTCGAGGATCCAGGTTTCTGAACGTCCTTGGCAAGTTGGGATCCTCGCTGGGCCTCCAGACGCGGGACCTTCGACCAGAGACCTCTGGGAGCCCCTGGAGGAAAACAAAACCAGAACCATGACCGAGACTGAACGCGGAAACGTCGCTATCGATCTTGGTCATCACCCACCTTGGTCATCGCCAACTCGCGGATCGTCCTCACAAAACGGCGACGACCGGCAGAGACCAGGACCAGAATCAGCGTCGACAAGATCCCGCGACATCTCGGTCATGGCCACCCTCTGGCGGCGCGCACAAGGGGGTAGGGGGAGGGGGGGCTTCCCCGAGGGAGGCT